ACTACTCGATAAAATGACTTCTTGTCACGGTGCTGGCGATCCTATAAAAAAGGTTGCTATCTTTGGAGGAACTCATGGGAATGAGCTAACAGGAGTATTTCTAGTTAAGCACTGGCTGGAGAACGGCACTGAGATTCAGAGAACGGGGCTGGAGGTAAAACCATTTATTACCAACCCAAGAGCTGTGAAGAGGTGCACCAGATATGTTGACTGTGACCTGAATCGAGTTTTTGATCCTGAAAATCTTGGGTAAGACTCTATGTTGTGTTGTGTGTGTGTACACGCACACGTGTGTGTATGTGTGTGTCTGAAAAGCAGTATGTGTGACAGCACATATGTATGTATTTGTGTATGCAGATGATACTCATGTTTGTATGTATAGTAGCTGTTGTGAATGGTCACTTTCACTTTTAATCATACTCCATTACGAATTACTCAGTTATCTAAACTGGGCATTCATGTGCTCTTTTATAAACTTTTTTAAACATCGGAATGTTCTTAACTGATTTTCTTTTTAAATGTATTCTATAGACTGAGACAACAAATAACACAGGTTTTTATTTTTAAACCTTATCTTTTAAGAAACAGATTTGATAGTCTTTTACATTGAATTAATGTTTGGCCACTATGCTTGGGTACATATTTGTTAGCTTTCTAGGTGATTCATTACTATATTTTTTGCAACTATGTTTATGATAATGCAGAAAGTTCTAGTTAAGAAAAGTGTAATATTTCAATTAATATTTGTGTAGTGAAAGAGTGAATAAATGCCCATCATCAGAAAATAGTAGACTACTCTGTGATCTGAAGAGTCGGTGTACTATCTTCAGTGTGGATCACTGAGACCTGAATTTTCTGAATTTAAATTACAGCTGATTTATGACATATTGCATACAAGATATGCAATCGTAACACTGTAGGGAAGTCCTTATGAATTATTTCTGCCTTTGTTTACGTCATAGCTGCTATGTAGATTTACAGGCCTCTAAGTATTTGCTCTTCACCACTTCTTTCTTTCATGTGCCTCAAAATATTATTAAACACCTCCTCTTCACAGGGCTCTGTGCCAGGTACTATAGGAGTACAAAGCTGTGTACAAAATGGTTTCTACCCTCAAGGAGCTAGCGGACTACAAGCTAAGATATGTCATGCACACAGACAAATAACACTGCACTGCTTTATGGACTCATTTTCTATTAAGCCTTAATTTGAATTTAAAGAGTTACTTAAATTTAATCTTATCACAGAGTTACTTAAATTTAATCTTATCACAGTTCAAAAGATGGTTGCTGCATTTATACAAATGTGCCTCACTTTATGGAATAGATGTTTTCCAGGGCAGTTATACAGTAGTCATACCTTGCCTATCAAACTGTATTTTTACTAACATAAGTTTTAATTTCAAAAGTGCTTTATCTTGACTGAGATTATGTCGAGAAAATTAAGTTTTATCTGTCCACCTAAAACAGCTATTAACTAACACTTATATTACAAGTAAGGATTTGCTGAAGAATAACTTTTGGTTGGCCTGTTAACTTCCCAAATAACTCTAATATAGATTAGAATGAGTTTTCTTATTATGACCACTCAGTAGCATGCACTTCAGTGAGAGCAGTCTCTTAAATTAAATTCACTTCCTACTTCTTACATTCAACACTTATCAGAGGCTAGACAGTTATCTCTCAGGCTGGTTATGGCATCTTAGGAGATCAATTAATTAATTACCTCCTCCCATCCTCCCTCTCCCAAATTTTGCCGCTTTTCGTAAATTCTCCTAAATTCTCAGTGATGTCACTATTACTCACCAAATCACCTATAGAGATCATCTTACAACCTTCCCAGTTCTTTATCCCCTACGTCTAGTGGGTTACTCGTCTTCCCAATTATTCAAGTATTGAAAAATTGCAAGTATTTTGCAAATCCAGTCTTCCTCTCCGTTTTCATAGCCTTAGTTTATTTCTTCTGTGGACGGTTAAAGTACCCTCCTAAGGAATCTTTGTGCATCCAGCCTTACTCCAATCCTGCCTACATCTGTTGTCTGTATAGTAGTAGCCATAGGGGTCATCCTAATCTTGTCATGTCTTTCCCATGCTAAAAATTCTTCAAAAGGCTCCTATCCAGAATAGATTTGTCACTTAGTAGGGCTGCCATCCCCTTTAGGATCTTCTCCCTGCCTATTCGGTCCACTCCATCCCTTAGGATTCTTGCTACGGGACCTGGATTCCAGGCATGAGAACTCAGTGTCTATTATCTTTTAAGAATTCAAGCCTTGACTATGAGCAACTGTGTGACTGGTGGTGCCATTTATTCACATGGGGGAGAATGAGGAGCAAATCAGTTGGGGTGAAGGGGGGTACTCATGGAGTTGTTGCATGATTTAACTTTTAAAGTACATATATATTCATTAGGATATGTTTGGTTGCACATAATATAAATCTGAAAACAGTGGCTTAAACAAATAAGGGTTTCTTTTTCACGAGTAATAAGTCCAAGGTAGGCAGTCCAGGGCTGGTACAGTGCACAGTGATGTCATCCTATCTTCCCTCTGCACTAGCCTTAATATGCAGCTTTTGTCCTCATTGCTTTTGCTTCATAGTTGAAAAATGGCTGTTCCACTTTCTTGATTGCTTTCCAGGCAGGAATTACTCAGGTGCAAATATAGGTCCTTTGAAGATATTAGCAAAAATTGCCAGAGACTAGAAAGAAATCAAATTATAGAGAAATGTGATTGAATGCTTTAATGAGGAAAAGTAAATTTAAATGATCATGTACATTTAAAAAAAATTTATCATAACTACTGTGGGAGGTGGCTAGTCAGGTAGAGACTTACTTGGTAATTCAGTAAAAGCTATCAACTCTATCCCAGAAAAATGCATAAGTACATATACCTGTAAAATTTTGCATTTTCGCAGGGTTTACAGACTCTTCTCTGTAAAGCTTGACCCTGGATCTTTAGTGGTTCCTGGCATCACTTAAGAATTCCTAATTAGATGATGTGATTTCCTAAGTTTGACTGTTTTTGTGCACTAGAACTAGCTAGAGCCCCTCCCCCAAAATAGTGCATTTGGTGGTCTAGTTCCATAATAGCTCAGTGCACTGAACTACTAAGACACTGGTGATAAAATTAGTGGATGAACTTTGTTCAGGGTTGAAGTCAGATGGTAAATTCTATTTGAAATGTCTTTCTTGTGACCAGCCACATAAATGAAGTATTCTTTGTAAGCATGTCAGTGCAACATTACATGGAATCGAATGGAGGGGGGGAAATGTAATTTTTCATTTGTAAAGTTTTCAAGCTAATTTCCACTTTCTTCACAGATTTTTCATATTAAAGGTTTGGCAAATGGTTCCTTCTATACTGTGTTCTTATTGTATGTTTATGTTACCTTAGCCACAGATGTTGTTAATCTTTTTCTTTCTGCTAATAACAGCAAAAAAATGTCAGAGGATTTGCCATATGAAGTGAGAAGGGCTCAAGAAATAAATCATTTATTTGGTCCAAAAGATAGTGAAGATTCCTATGACATTATTTTTGACCTTCACAACACTACTTCTAACATGGGGTGCACTCTTATTCTTGAAGATTCCAGGAATGACTTTTTAATTCAGATGTTTCATTATATTAAGGTAATGTCAATGTTATTAATTTACAAGTTAGCCTAGGACCTGTACTTTTCAGTCAATTATAGATGTGAAACAACTAGAAAAGGGTCAGGAGGGAGGATTCAAAAGAAATGGGGGATTGGGAGAAGCACTAGAATGAAGGTAGTAGTGACAGGCAGGAGAAAAGGGGAAGAAATGAGTGAAATAATAATTACAATGAATAAGATAATGAAACATATGAATCCTTGTGTCTATAAAATTATAAATCTTTTATTGAGACAGCCACCAAACCATAGGCCCTTTGGTAAAATTAATACCAAACTTTTAAGTGATCTGGTTAAAGTGGCTCAATTATAGTATTAGGAAGCTCAAAAAATAGTCATTTAATGTTGACTAAAGACCAATGATAGAAGGATTGGCTCTCCTTAGCCCTGCCCCTGTCTCCATTTGATTCAGATACCCTCACACACATCTGATCTTTCAGTACTTCATCTAGCTAATCGCTCTAAAGCTCAGAAATCTACAATATGAAAAATTCAGCAATCCAGTGCCTATAACTAGAGAAAAATTGCTAGAAAATAGCAACCAAGCAAATACACAAATAATAAACTGTATGCTTATTTCTGTATAATGGACAGCCTTCCTTCCAGAGAGCTGGTATGGACCAGTATGATTTAGTAGAAAGAGTGTGACCCATATACCCAGGAGTGCCTGGGTTCTAATCCTGGCTCTCTCATTCACTATCCTGGAACAAGATACTCAACTTCCAAAACCTGACTTTCCTCGTTTTATAAAATTGGCACAATAATAACACTTACCCTATCTGGCTGTTCTAAGCCTTAAATGAGATAAAATAATTAAAGCATTTAGCTGAATGCCTAGCTCATAGTAAAAAATTAACAATTATTTTTGTTTCCCTTGAATTTTTGACATTAACCAGATAGTTGTTCTGGTGGGAGTTCATAATGCAGCTAGTCTTTGCTGCTCCTTGAAAGGAAAGCTGCATGCTTTGATTGCCAGGCAAGGAAGCAGCATGGCTGCCATTGTTATCAAAGCTGAGAGGCCTGTCCTGAATTCTCATTCAGATAATTCTCATTCAGGTAGGAGGAGTTGCCCAACATCTGTAGAGACCTGCCCACAGAATTCTTTGGCAGACACAGAATTCTTTGAGAGACCAATACTAAGCTAAAGAGTAAATGGAACCAATGATGTAAACAAAGTAACCAAATCCATTCAGAAGAAGAATTTATTCATATTCTCTGTTCATAGTTCTGGAGAAGTGTTTAATGTACATTTTATCCAGAAAGCTATTTAGAATCCAGCTTTATATGTAATTCATTTATTATGTATTTTCAAAGTTATAGTAACAACATTGGATTTCAGAGTGTTTCATAAAGCTGTCTTACTAATCTTAGTCGATGAAGGGAAACATATTGAAGGCATCATTGACTCTAACAGCAAAGACAACAAGACATACGGTCTTTACATAATAAGAAAGATGTTTTAAATTCTTTTCAGATGTCTTTGGCTCCATTACCCTGCTATGTTTATCTTATTGAGCATCCTTCCCTCAAATACGCAACCGCTCGTTCTATAGCCAAGTATGCTGTGGGTAAGTCATGTCTCCCACTGTCACAACTAAACAAAATGTGTCCTAGATGAAACTCTGAGAAAATTAATTTAAAGCCTATATACAGCTACTTTGCTTATCATTATGGCTTATAATTTTCAAGTAATAAACAAACTATCACCAACAGTCTCTAACTATATCAAATCTCCTCGATTTCATTGAGCAGCTTTCTGCATTCCAGGAAGAAACACAGAGTTGAGGGAACTGGTATCTTTTATGGGCAGTAAGCAGCCTGGCTTTTGCTCCAAGAGAGACACCGTTCCTACCTTCCGAGACTACTCACTGTACAAACATTCTTGAAAAAATAATCTGCGGCCAAGACAGTCATGTCTTACTGACAAGACATGCAGAAACACAAAAGGCCCATGGAAAATTCTCTCCCAGTATCCCTCTTAGCACCTGCTTTGCAGTAGAATCTCTGGTGACCCGTGTTTGTTTTCCATGCACTTGCTTGCCCTGTCGGTTACTGGGCTATGAGTTCATCTTTACCTCCTGATAACTTTCAACATGCAGGCTTGCACTCTCAGACAGTCTCTTTTTTCTATAGTCCATTCTCTTTCCTGAGTGACCTGGTAGCATAATTGTTTACAGACCACGCTATAGTCATTAAAATTGCTGTCACAACCTAAAATCTTTTTTGTTAGCTCTCAAATGGTTTAACCAAGAGCAATTTAATTTTAAAGTGAGTCGTCAAACAATATAAGCAAAATTTAAAGTTCTTGTAGTTATTCAATTATTGATAATTTGGTGTATAATCAACAGATCATTCGGGGCATGCTAAATACACAGGTGTGGGTAATTATTTGAAACAAACTAAATGCTTAACAGTAAGGGATAGAGATCCTGTTCCTCTGTGACATCAAATAAAGCCTGAGATTTCCAAGCCTTGCGAGAGCGAACTTGATCTATGATGTTTATGGGGCAGTGTTGCTCTTAACCAGAATGAATATCTACTGCTGTGTTTAGCTCTTAAAAATAGAGCCAAATCTTTCAAACATTTTCATGTGGGACAGTATTAAGATCATCGTAAATAATTAGAAATACTATATGTTCTCCTTCCAACTTTGCTATTTTCTTTGGAATATTTTTATGTCATTCAGTCATGGAGGGAGGAACACTTAAGATCAGAAAGACACTCTCTCCAACTCAGCATTTTATAATACACCTCTGACTTTAGGTGGCTCCAAGGCCACAAGATGTCCACTGTAGTTTCAATCATCATACGCCAACATGACAATATCTAGGGGAAGAAAAGACATTCTCAGGAATTCACTTGCAGACCTTCCATTATGGCCAGTTGTTCAGAACTGGGTCACATATCCATTCTTAAGTTAACTCCTAGAGTTAATGGGGTTACTCTGATTGACTGAAACTATTCCACATTTACTCCTGAGTTGGATACCCAACCAAAATCAGGTCTCTGTCAGTAAAAAGTAAGATAGAATGGATTTGGGGTAGGCAATCAACAATGTCTTCTACATTACACATACAGACATATCCATGAACACGTTTTCACACATTTGTACAAATCACTTATACACTGATGCATACCTTAGCCACACTTATACCCTATACTTAAATATATGCCCAAACATATATCCAGGAAAGCTAAGCACAAAAATGAAGGTAAAAGACAATACAGTAAGATTTTGTGAATTGAGAATTAACAGAAGTGGGTGATGATAGATAAACGGAAAAGAATAAAAATGGATAATGTTATACTTGGTAAATGGTTTTATAAATGGGGAAGGTGGTAATTGGAGTAATAACTGTGTGGGAGACTTGAACAGGAGAGAGGGGACTAGATGAGTGGTTTAGAAAAAATATTTTGTAGGTTTATGGATGGATGTGTGACAGCCACAGGAAGTAGACCTTCTTAGGGTGAGAAGAAATATGATTTTTTCCTACAGATAATTGAATCCATTGCACTATCATGTCGGGATGGGTTGTTATATTAAGGGCAAGAAAGTTGCTCTAGGGTCACATAGATTGTCATTAGACTTAAACCCATGGCTCATTTAGTCTACATTTCTTTGACTAAATAGATGTTTTTTCTCCTACAAGCTAAGTGTTAGGTCTATGACAGTTTCTCTCTGTGGCCACGTATTATTTTGTTGGTGTAAATTTGTCTACTCCTTTTAATTATTATGATTTTTAAATATTTTGACAATATTGAAGAAAATCTAAAGGGAAAAAGACCTCAAGACCTTACTACTATAACACAACTCTTTGCACTTTTTTCCATGTTCTCGCCCAGTCTTTATTTACTATGCATCTAACTTGTACATGTAAACGCTCTGCTTTCTTTTTTTACCTGGCATTATGTCTTATATATTTTTCATGATGCTACATGGCCTACTTTTTTAATCATTTTGAATGATGGGATTCTAGATCTTGATATATTAAAATGCTCAATCTTATATTCTAAAACTTGTATAAATGCAACTATCTCCCCTTCTGTACTTAGGTATAGAAGTTGGTCCCCAGCCTCAAGGGGTTCTTAGAGCTGATATCCTGGATCAGATGAGAAAAATGATTAAACATGCACTTGATTTTATACATAATTTCAATGAAGGTAAGTGGTAGGCAGAAAGTGTTTCTTTAACTGATGGCTTGTGTGAGTAAAAAAATCAGAAATAGATGAGATGGAGCACACATTAACAACTTAATTGCTACACATTGAAGTAGCAATTGGAATCTAAGTCATATTTGCCATGTCCATGATATTAGGTGCTTTTTAAAAATTTGTATTCACTTCGGTCTTCCTTCATTACCAATGTAGACACATTCAAGAAAAACAGCTGCCGACTCTGCGTTGGTGGCATAGTGGTTAGCATAGCTGCCTTCCAAGAAAAACAGCTGCCAAATAAAGCTCCCCAAACAAAATCCTCATTTTCCTATTAATCTCCATTTTAAAAAGCAAGGAATTACCAAGTATTACAAATTCCAATAAAGAGATGAAAAGATGTCCAGTATCAGTAGTAATCAGAAAAATGCAAATTAAAATGCAAAATCATTTTCTCCCATTAGATTGGGAAAATATTAAAATCTGATAATATTGTGTTGGTAAGGGTGTGAGAAAAGGGGATAGTCTCCTTCCCTGCTGATGTAAATTGGTAAAGACACTTTAGAGGATAATTTGACAGTATCCACTTTCTAAAATGTGCAAATTCTGTGACATAGCAATTCCACATCTCAAAGAAACACAAGCACATGCATACCGACATGCTACATACAAGGATGGTTATTGAAGCATTGTCTGTAACAGCAAAACAATGGAAATGATGCGAATATCCATCACTTAGTTAAGTAAACCAACATGGAAAGATCTTCAAACTACATTGTCCACTGAAAGAAAGCAAATTGTAGACCAAAATATATGTTACACCAATTTGGTTCAAAAAAATTAATAATAATAATAATAATAATAATAATAATAATAATAATAATAAAACACTTGCTAGAATATATATAAATATATGTTACTACACAGGAAAAGTTCAGGGAGAAAACACCAAACTGATAATAGTGATTACTGGGGAAAGGAGGGGAAGATCAAGTTAATTTTGTTTTAGTTGTGTTCAAGAAGAATGACGTATTCATGTATTATTTGTGTGATTACAAATAGTTAAATGGGGGCTCATGGTGAGATGGGCATAAGGAGCTCTATGTACTGTCTGCTCATTGATTTAATGAACCTAAAACTGCAACAAAACAAAACAAAAAACAAAACAAGAAATGTATTAATTATTTTAAAAAGTAAGTTTACTTTAAATCTTTTAAGAATTATGATTAAGACAAAATCAAAGTGACATATAAATAATTATTCAGACAGGCTGAAGTGAAATTATTGTTGAGGAATGGGTCTATATGGCGGCAAAGCTGGTGAATATTTCAGTGCCTATGGAGAGGGTAATTCCTTAACCTCCTGCTGTGATCACAGGAATTTCTTCTGTGCTTGGAAGTCCTTTGACCCCAAAGTCACAAAGACTGAAAATCAGGATTTTACCCCCTTTGTCTGAGGACAGAGTCTATACTGTCTGATGAGCCTGGTGTTGGGAAGGTCATCACTTATTCACAAGAAACCCCTGGAATAGTAAGTGTGTTGAATGTAAGGAAACAATGCACCCAGGTAGAAGGCCACAAACCTGACTGAAAAAAAATCAAAACATGGTTTTTTTTGTTTGTGTCTTTCTGTTTGTACAGAAATTTTATTTACTCTTTTGCTTTTTTTCTTCTTTATATAATTGACATTGTTTTTATTGAGGAATAACTTACATACATTCAAAAACATGGTTTTCAAATCACAATCCATAGATTCTTGCCACAGGGCGGGGATTTAGTAGCTGCCCTGGTAGCTCCAGGACAACGACCCCCACTCCTCCTTCAGCCAGAGCAGTTGTGTCTGTTTTATCCTTGTAACATTTCATTTAAGGAAAGGATTCTGCAATTCAAAACTTTTGAACCATTATTAATTTAGACTATCCAGTTTGATGGATTTTTAACTAACATGGAAAAAGCACCGTTATCCAAAGGATGCTGGCAACCATCTGAAAAAGTCTCTAGAAATGTGTAGAAGAGCTCTGTCTTTAGCTGTGTGCTACTCAAAATTACTATTAGTGACTTGGATAAGGACATATATGACATGCTTATGTAAGTGATAAGTGACAGGAAGCTAGCAGGAAAATATCTGAGATCAGAAGTTGGATCCAAAAAGTCCTGACAAGCTTTAACATTAATCTAAACCAAATGTTTAAAATTAAAGTACATCAGAAACAAAATTTTACTTTCATGTTAAAAAAATCACAGAATGAGGGAAGTGACGGTCTCTTTGCTGCCTTAGATAAACAATGCTTGGAGACCTGTGAAGAAATTCCTAGTCTGTATTTCAGGAGGAATGTCTATAAAGTAGAGTTTAGCTGAGGAGGCAGTTGAGAATGTTGAAGTTTGAGAAATATAATAAGAATAATCCCAAAGATACCTTCACGTGTATCCTCATTAGTGTGACAATAGAAGAGCGGTCATTGATAGAATTTAGAGATGCTTAGGAAAAATCTTAAGGCCGATTTTATCTTAGAGTTTTCGAAGTGTTATATTGGAAAAGAATTAGGCATCCTTTCTGTGACTCAGAGGGCAGATTAGAATCGGTGGAATAATGTTACCTAGAGACAGAAATGTCTAATTAACAAAGCTGACCAACAATGAAACGGACCACACTTTATAAAGTTGTTCAAGCAGGAGCAAGATGACCACTTGGCCAGAAAGATGTGGAGAATATTCAAGCATCTCTGGAAGCTGGGCATCTGAGACTCCTTCTAGCTCTGAGATTCTAAGTAGCAAAAAACACTCCTTTGTGTTCTACCACTCTTTCCTTTCCTCCCAACGGACCTTCTGGTTTAAAGAGATGATATCTGATCAGTTCCCATCTTCATCTTGGAAAGTGTGGCAAATTGTAAAAATAGCCACAAATTCTTTCCTTCCCTGCATCTGTGTCCCCTCAACAGTGGAGTCTATTTCCCTACCACTTGACTCTGCCTTGGCCATGTGGCATGTTTTGTGCCACAGAAGTTTGAAAAGAACTTGCAATCAAGGCTTTATCTCTTGCTGTCCTTGGGAACCCTGTACTGCCAGTACTGAGTCAGTCTACCCTAGCCCACTGGATAATGAGATGTTATGAGGCTGAGAACTGAGACACCTCGGCCAGTGGTCCTGCAGCTCCAGCTGACAGCCAGTCAAATACCAGCTATGAGAGTGAGGCCATCTTAGAGCACCCAGCCTCCTGCTGACCTGCCAGCTCACTGCTAATGCATGAGCAAGCCAATTAGATATCAGCCAGTCCAGCCTAGACCAGAGGAACTGCCCAACCAACCCACAGAGCATGAGCTAATTGGAGGATTGTTGTCTTAAGCCACTAAGTTCTGGTGTAGTGTGTTTTGCAGCAAAAGCTAACTGACACAGAAGTGGTCACATTATATCGACATTCCAACCCCAGCTGCACTTTCTGCTCTAAGGGCAAAGGAAGAATTTTCTTTGGATTGCAAGCACAGCACACTGTGGGCTCTCCGTTGGATGGAAGTTCATCCTGTTTGTTCAGAAGTTGCCTGGTATAATGTAAACTACTCCTTTTCCAAGTTTTTGGGCATTGGGTTGTTTAATGTTGCTGTGCCTTTGTAAGTTGCACTCCACTGCCTGCATCCTAGTGTCTCACTGCTCAGGAGCTATCCAGATGTTTAACCTACTTAGTTAAGAGAAGGAGCACAATGCTGAAGTCACCTAACCTGCTGGACATCCTCTTGAAGTTATGCAATCATAGAATGTCAGAGCTGAAAGGGCCCTTCAAGATAAACTAATGCGCAACTTTAGTTTGTCTGGTAAAGAACGTAAGCTTCGAGAAGTTACGCATTTTGCTCAAGTACACAGCCAGGAGATAAGAGCCCAATTATCCTGACTCCCAGTCCTAGCCACTTTCTCTTCCACACTGGCTTTGTAAGTTCTGTTGTCTACCAAGAAAGCTAAAGGCCTCTGGGACCTGTGATCATTAGTCATAGGGCATTTTAGTTAACTCTGGCAATAATGAAATTAAGATAACACTGGAGCAATGACTGTTGTGTCCAATGACTTGCATCTATGGCGGCTTTTTCAGCTTTAGCTTGGGACATTCGAGCATCAGGAAGATGATCTGGTAAAGTGTCTCAGTGGTGGTGGCAGAGCAGCTCTCTGCCTGAAGCCCTGTAAGCCCATGGCATTCTTCTTAATAGGCCCAAGCTGGAAACACACAAGATGTCCATAAACCCTAGAAAGAATGAATAAATTATGGCATTTTCTTGCAGTGGAATACTATACTGCAAAGAAAATGGACGAACAGTGGCTATATACCACAATATAGATGAATCTTCCCAAAAAGTTAATCTTCAGAAGACCAAGTGCATATAGTGATTGATTGTATTTGTAAAATATTCAACAGTAGGCAACCTTAACTATACTGTGTAAGATTCAGAAATAGGTGGTGAAACTATAAAGTAGAGCAAGAGAGTCATTACCAAAATTAGTGGTTACTGCTAAGGTGGGAAGGCGATGGGATTATGATGGGAAGGAGGCATGCAGGGGATGCTGGAATACTGGCAGTGTGCTGTTTCTTGTCCTGGGTGATAGTTACATGGGTAGTCATTTTATAATTCATTAAACTATGTTTTATGTACTTTCTGAGCGTTAAATTTCACAATAAAATGATTTAAAAGCAAAAAAAGGAAGTGTGTTCTCCTTGAAAATTCAGTTTTTGGTTATTACTGTACCTTCTTTAAAATATCGAGTTCCCTTTCTTCAGAACTTTTTTTTTCTTTTTTGCTACTTACACATTTTGTTTTTGCCATAGGAAAAGAATTTCCTCCCTGTGCTATTGAAGTCTATAAAATAATGGAGAAAGTTGATTATCCCAGGAACAAAAGTGGAGAAATTGCTGCTATTATCCACCCTAAACTGCAGGTAACATTTACTACTTCTTTTAAATATTCAAAATAATGATGCCCTACCTTTGAGTAGAACTTTACAGTCCATAAAGCATTTTACATACATTAGCTCATTTGATGTTCTCAAAAACAGTGTAGGTAAGGTGTTCAGATGGCCACTCAGTAAATATTTATTGAGTATATCCTGTGCTGGCCCTGGGGATACATCAGTGGACATGGTTTATATTCTTGTGGAATTTACAGTCTAGGTGTATTGAGGTATAAGCTGTGGTCTTGAAGAAAACCAGATGTTACTGCAGAATAATGATCAGGAGTGAGGGTCAGAGAAGGTGAAATTCCTGCCCAGGTGCAATGGCTAGGAGTTACTACATCTATTTTAACATAAGAAAACAGAGGCTCAGAAATTAGATCCTTCCCATAGCCATATAGCTATTGACAGCAGATCCAGAACTAATGTTCTGTGCAGCCAGCCACATCGCACCCCCTCCCTGTGAGCACTACTATATAAGTTAGAGCAGAGCAATCAGAACCTCTTTCTCTGGAACATTTTCTGCTGTCATTTCCTGACTCCTCAGAACCCCAGTATCTGCTCCTTGTCCGGTTTGATCAATAATGGCATAGTGAAGGGGAAGAAAAGTAGGAGAGAGGGAGAGTATAGGAGGTTTAAATCTGGAAAAGAAAAAGGTAAAAGCAGGGGGAAGCAAAGGTTCCCAAAAGCTAAGACATCCATCCCCATTGAGAGTACCCTGCACACCCTCAGGACTCAAATGGAAAAGTCGTGATGGATCGTCTAGTCTGGAGCTTTCAACCCTGGCTGCGCATTGCCTAGAGAGCCTTTTAAAAGATAATGATGCCAGGCTCCCAATCTGGGATCATCTGATCTTACTGGTCTGGATAATTAGAGTGGAAAAGCACTGATCCAGTTCAAACTCCTATTTAATGACCCTAATGATAGTCATTCGGACTTACAACTTAATAAAATAGCCTGTCCCAAAACACAGTCTAGTGGAGCAAATCCTGCCTTGTACCTTAGTGGGACTCAGATGGAAACCTGAAGAAGGAGCCTTAGGCAGTGTTTGAAAGGACAGAAAGGCAAAGGTCTAGGGAGAGAAGGGAGGAAAGCCCTACAAGTAACAAAAATTACAAGTACAAAAACCAGAGGTCAAGGTGATGATGTCATAACTGGCTACAACACAGGATTGTTTAAGTTTCATATTCCTCAAAGACATACGTGAGAAACACAAAAATCATCATGCGGAGGCAGAGGTGAGATGAATGAAGTCAGTCACAAACAGGGCTAGTGGTAGGTCTTCAAAGCCAGAAAGGATAGTTTTGGTAGACAATAAGGAATGGCTCAGTATTCTGCAGGAGGGATTGATTGATTCTTTCAATAAATATGTTTGAATAACTACTAAGCTTGTCCTGGGCCCTGAGAGTCAAGGTAGGCAGGGTCTCTGATAGAACTTGCATACTAATAAGGGGAGAACAGACCATGAATAAGTAAGTAAATAATACAAAAGTCACATGATTTCAAATTTTAATAAGTGCTATGAAAGAAATAAACAGAATAATACAGTAGCAGTTCACAGAGGGTTCCTCATTAGATGGCGTGGTCAGAAAATGCCGTTTCTTAAGATGAGGGCATTGAAGGTGGAACCTGGAAGATGAGAAGTCAGCCACGTGGAAAACAAGGGCAGAGGCTCTGAGGCGGGAACGAACTCGCAGTGTTTGAGGAACCGCAGGATGAACAGTGTCTGGAGAGTAGGGAGTGAACGGAGAAGCCATTAGACCCTGAGCGAGTGACTCAGGTGGGGACCTGGTTACGGGTCCAGACAAACAGGATCGCTGGATGAACTGCAGGTACATCCAAGTCTGAGAAGAGCTGCTCTAGGGTTCCTGTGGTGTGGCAGCACTGGTGTGGGCGGGCTCACAGGTCCAAATCCTTGGTGGGGACCCCTCAGGTAACTCCGTTATTACAATGTGGGGACACGTATGGAAAACGCCCACCTTGTCTTAGACTTTCCTCAGCCCGCTCCCACCTTCTCCCACCAGTCCCCACCAGAGTAGAACCTCCTAGTGTGCAGGCACAATGTCACTCATTTTTTTATCCCCAACAGTAGAATGTCTTATACACAGAAGGCTCTTAATGGATATTTCTTCAATTCTACTGAGCAGAATTTAACTTCAGCTAGCAAGAGTTAGAATATGCCCTTAAGGAGATGCACATTTTGTTTTGCCTTTTAATATTATAAATCTCTTTGGCAACATTCAAGGCAAACAGTATTGAAGCAAACTCTAATTACATGTTGTCGGTTATAAAAATAAAAAGGGGAACTCTTAATACCACTGCCAAAATCAATTGCTCAGTCTCAGTTTGGTCAGATCACTCATATGCCTCTCAAGTATCTCTTTTTAAAGAAGACGATGCTATGATTTTAGTTGTATAGAACCTGACATTAAATTTTTAAAGTAAGAGAAAACCTAATGCACTTTTATGTATTTTAATTGTCTCCTGAGAGGATCAAGACTGGAAGCCTTTGCACCCTGGAGATCCTGTGTTTTTAACCCTTGATGGAAAGACTATTCCA